CATGGTGGTGACAGCATCATGCTGTTGGGAGGCCTCTTAGCAGCAGGGACCGGGAAATGGAAGGATGGATGAATGCAGCCAAACACAAAGAGCTATTTGCTATGAGGAAAACCTGCTGTAAAGTGCACACAACTTGAGATTTGGTTCACCTTTCAGCAGGACAATTACTTGATCCATAAACAGCCAAGGAAACACTAGAGTGGATTCAAGTATCTGACTGTCCTTGAGTATGCTCCCTCTCTCATTATTATTATTTTTTTTATTATTATAATTAACTTGTTTTCATGACTTTATCATAATTTATCATTTTCATTATAACAACTGGTCTCTCTCTTCTCTCCCTCTCCTCCCCCTCCTTCTCTCTTCTCTCCCTCTCCTCCCCCTCCCTCTCAACCAGTCGAGGCAGATGTCTGCCCACATTGAGTCTGGTGGGTTTTTTTCTAATCAGTGAGTAAGTGCTGCTTATTATGGGAACTGTTGAGTTTATCTTTCATTTCTAAGGGTCTCGACCTTCTATGTAGAGTGCCTTGAGATAATGTATATTATGATCTGATGCTATACAAATAAAATTGAATTGAATTGAACAGAACTGAATTGAATTGAAGACCAAAACAGTTTCCTTCCTCATCACTGACAGTACCACCTAGTGTTGGTGGGAAGCGAGGGTCAGCATCCCCCTCAGATTTATACACCACGTTACAAACTACTATCTCAGGATTAATGTGCCATAAGCAGGCACTGGGGTGTAAAATGTTGCTAACCTCAATCTGAACTGGGGTCAGTTGCTGTTCACTGGCAAGGTCATCAGCCACGGTCATGCCCACCAAGGCCCAACAGTCCCCTCATGAAACCCCATTTAAATTTACTAGATCCAGATTTTTTTTTGAATCTACATCAGATTGCCCACATTCATAAATATCAGTCGCCTAAACATGAGACCTTCTTTTTTTAAATCCATGAATTATTCTCGGAGAAATCCACTAAAATGTTGTAACGTTTCATGGTGCATTCTGTCTCCTTCCACTCGTTGTTTGTGAAAATCTGTCCGAAAGTTTTTTGCATAATCCTGGTTAATAACAAACGCTGATGAAAACATAACCTCCTTGGTTTAGGTAATAATCAATGTGAACTTACTGTTTCGCTAGTGGTAGCAAGAGTTTATATACATATTTAGAAATTACAGAAGTTATGTACAATTCTTTTGGCTTGAAAAGGTTATATGACTGACTGACTGCATGGCTGGCAGCTAGCATGCCAGCTACTCACGGCTGCTCACCAACTAGCCCTGCAAGTAGGAACTATGTCCGCAAGCCTCCACAGCCACATAATTCCGTTTGCCACTAAACACACGGCCTGGAATCTCTTAGAACATCACATAACAAGCATTTGGAACGACTACAACTCAGTTCTCTCCATAATACTGCTCTTACTGGTTTACAGGAACATCCTGGACCTCGATGAGTTTCCTGCTGCTTGAACATTGTTTCTAATGATTCCAGTCCAGTATACTGAGATTATATACACATACAGAAATTGCCTACTGTAAATATTGCATGCTTGCTGCGCTCTCATGCGGTGGCCGTGGCTCAGGAGATAGAGCGGGTCATCCACTAAACAGAAGACCCCAGGCTCCCTGATTCAGCGTGCCGAGTGTCCTTGGGCAAGGTACTGAACTCCAAATTTCCCTGGATGGCTGTGCTGGCAGTGTGTGAGTGATACGTGAAAGAGAAAGTGCTGCACGTAGATGCTCTGTATGAAATTGTGTGTGAATGCACTTTGAGTGGTCATCAAGACTAGAAGAGCGCTATATAAATACAGACCATTTATCATTTCTTTCAATTTCAGAATTGGAAGTGGAGGTCAATATGTATATTACTGTCAATCAAATATTTTGACTTATGGTAAAGCTCATTACACTTTACAACAATTTAATTAAGAAATCTACAACACATTCCGACACGCCATGAATTATGTAGACTGCACACAGTACATCACACACACACACACACACAAACACGGACTTCTCTGTCATACCTTTCTCCAAGAATTCACAATCCTTCATGGCCTGGTCACAGTCGGAGCATTTGAGAACAGCTATTGATGACCCGATGACCTTGAGACGAAGAACTCGGCTATACATCACCATGTGCCTGAAGAGGAGACTGAGTTTCTTAGTGTCCACAACACTGGAGCAATTATCTTGATTAAGTTCAACTAAATTTCTTTCAAAGTTGTGCTCTTATTCATAGTGTCTGTTTAAATGAGCTTTTCTTTTTGTCACACCAACAAAACAATATCCTGATGTCACTTATGTATTTTATCATTTTAAAAACAAAAGTGTAAAATGTACATGTACAAGAAAAAAACTCACCTCCTATCCTTTTCTTTTAAAAATGTTCTGTGCAAATATTTATCCAAATACTTTTAGCTGTAATTCCCCCAAAGTTCTTAAAACTTTAAGGATAACTACAGAGCTGAACACTCGCCACAGTGACAGGACGACAAAAGAAAAAAGTTCCTCTTTCCTTAAAGAATGCTGTCGGAGTAGTTTTGCATTCAGGAAGAGAAGAAGTCACAAAGCTTTCCTTTCAGGGGTGAGAGAGGGAGCAAAACAAGGGGGTCACACAAACCAAAATATAGCTGGGGGCTGAAACTGTACTGAGCATGTGCCATGGAAAAGCAGACTATACATTTATTTTGAAAACACATTAGCTTCAGTGTGCTCTTCAGTCACAGACATATAATTTAAATGATCCATTTAGGGTTTTTTAAGTTACAGATTATATTTGTATTCACAGCAGATACTCAGTTTATACTCATACACCCATCCAAAAGAAATGATATAAGTCACCATGGTGGACTGGCAGGAAAAAGTTCAAAGTAAATGTGGAGTGTCATTTAGCAAACTGTGGAGCCCCAGGCAACTCCAGTAGTCCCACACACAGTTCCCTATTGTCCCGCCTTGTGACTCTATTAGTGTATCTCCTCTCAGCCTACTGCTTTCACACCACTATTTTCCTCTGAGAAACTTGACGCTGTGGCAGAAAGTCACAAGACTCACTTGAGGCAACAGTCAAAATCTCTTTCAAAAAAAAAAAGTTAAAACAAATTTATTATCCCAGAAAATGTGTGAATAAAACTATTCTCCACTCATAATGACATGAGATCCATGGCACACATTTTTTCCCAGGCTGTAAAAATACTACAAGAGTACAGCAAGAAACCAAAATATAAACTCTCACCTGGGTTTTGTCAGTTGAAGTTCGTTGGATGCTGGAGGAAGTGAAGACAGGTGAGGAGCTGCAGTGATTTCCCTAAACAAACAGACACAGGAGAGCACCTTGGATTCAAATGCATCAGAGCAGTAAAAACAAAACTAAGGCATGTCTCCCATACCTCAATTTGCCTGCATTTGAATAGGACACAAAGACTCTAAAAGGAATCGTGTGAGTTCAATGAATAATGATAAAAAATAAAATGACTTAGTTCATCATTAGATGACAAGTCAGTCAGTCTCATTCCACTGTGCATAGCTATCTGATTGTATGAAATAACTTAGCATGTAATGCAAAACTCACATTTACAGTAAATAAGAAGTGGTTCGACTGGTTCATTTTGAGCACGGCTCCATCACTGGAGCAGAGAATGGCTGCCCTCATGTGGACAAAGGCCCAACCTGCAGCAGCTAGAGAAAAAGAGGGAAGTATTACTTAGCATCAAATGCAAGTGTCAGAAAGCAGGGGAAGTGTTTTGATTTGTGTTCTGGTCTGTGGTTTGTATGGCTTATAATGTGAGAAATAACTGTACTTGATGAACAGTGCAGAGTCAGACCTCCCTCGCTACATCAGACATTTATTTTGTCTTCTCCTAAAACTGATTATAAATGCAACTTAGTCCTGATAATGCAATAGATTTTTTTAATATAATGCACAGACCAATGAGGTCAGACATCAGCTAGACAAGAGCACAGGTTAGTGTTGCAGTCAAATCCAGGACCTTCCTATCAAACTCTTTGGTTAATAGTTATCAACACGTCTGACCACCTGGGGGAGGAACGATTTGGATCAACAGCTGTCAAAGTGCAGGATAACATTTTTTCACTGTCAACTAATTAATACACAGGAAACTAGGATTCCATCGGAGAAATGTAAGGCCACACACAACTAATGTTGGAATTATCAATATGCCTGGAGATTATTTTCTTCAACGATTGAATGTTGAGTTAAATATCAGAAAACTGTGTAAGCTGCTATTAGATATTCACTGAGGCCCTGATTTTCATATTCCCTGTGGTTTGTTTGTATGTGTACATCCTTAACCACAATATCCATGTTCATTTCAACATACACCGTCCCTCCCTATGTTTCCTCCTCTCTATTTCAAACTGACTGTAAGTAAAGGTAACTTGACAAAGAACTTCATCAACTATTCAAACAGTTGAACATGCATTTCCGGTCAGTGGACCAATCATCCAACAGAACTAAGCGTTGCATCCTCACAGCACCGTTGGCTTCCGGTTATCTGGGGTAATAATGATATAATACTAACACGTGCACACTGGGGGTCTTTGTGAACAACAGATGTTTGTCCTGCAGGTTTAATCTGACCTGAACAACAGGAAATCACAACAACTGGCAAACGATTAACATCATTCATTCAAGTATTAATTACAAAAGCAAAGGAGCTCAAAAGCTGTGTCAGCTCAGGCACCAGGATATCATGGGTGACAGTATTTCGTGTGACACCTGTCTCTCTGCGCAGGGCTCGTGTTGGAGGGAGACTCCTCCGCCATGTCGCCCCCTGTCCCACATACAAACAACACGCAGGCGTCAACATGGCTGAAGTTGTGACAGTGGACCGAACTCCCTCCAGCAGCGGGGGGGGNGACTTTATTTAACATTTTTATTTTACATGTTTAGATACCAATAAAATTATACATCCATCATCTACAATGCTTATCCTTTGAGTGTCACGGGGGGGCTCCTCTCAGCGCGTCCCCGTGTCCGCAGCATCCCCCTGCCCGTCGCCTCACCGTCCCCTCACCGCCTCCTCCGATTGGCCGCTGCCCCTGCACCTGTTCTCCCCCAGCCCGCCAATCACACGCCCCGGTCGCTGTGCTCCAAGATGGCGGCTTCCAGTGCTCCTTGCTACACATCATAAGCGGTCGAAAGCGAAATATTTCCGTCCAGCGGCCGATTAAACCCATGAGGGAGCCGAGCGGCCCGGAGCTGTCGACGCTGGTCCCCCGCGGTTTGTTCGTGTGGGTGTCGGAGTGACGGGGGTTGTGTTTTCCGAGTATGGCCACCGAGAACAGGATCAATTTTTGGAGGAGAAACACGAAGGTTCCCGGAAGGTGGGTCTTCGTCACTGTCTTTCTTACCGACGCGGGGGTTAGGCTCAGCATGTAGTGACTTCCACACCGTTCACGAAGGACACAGGACAGAAACACGATCGACGGCTTATTTTGGGCTCGAGCTCCAAGTTGAGCTCGCACATTTAGAACGTAAAAGCCTGACTTGTAGTCGCGAGCTGCTCGTTGTGTGTTGTGTGACTTGGTGTGAGTCAGCTGAGGGACACACAGCATCTCTCTGGGTGGAGGTGTCGGCTGTCACACGCCGTGCATCGCCCCGGCCATATGTTTCCATATGTGCAGGCTGGTCACAGCCTGAGGATCTCTGAGGTCCTCTGATTTTAAACATGAGTCAGAACAACATCCTCTTTTTGTGGCAGTGTAATGTTGGGGGCTGAGATGATCGTGCACAGGAAGCAGGGAGCCCGGGTCTTAGTGGGTGTGTGGGTCATATATGGGGGGGAAAGGGTAGACACTTATTAGTAATCAATCCAATTCTATTGGTGTAGCCCACATTCATGAATCACTCACAGGGCTTCCTCTGCACTGGAGCCTCGACAAGACTAAGGAAAAAGTACCCCCCCCCCCAAAAAAAAACTTTTAAACAGGGTAAGAAACTTCAGAAAGAGCCACAGGTGAGGGATCCCTCTCCCAGGACGGGCAGAAGTGCAGTAGATGTCACGAGTAGCAGAGCACATCAACAAAATAACAATATTTACAACAGTGATGAGAAAAGACCAGGTCGAACACGAATGGAGAGGTGTAGCAATGTTTTAAAGTATTTATACAACGTGTCTTCTGACAGAGAGGAAGGGAGCAGCAGTGACAATTGTAATGATAGTGGTATAACTATTACAAAGAAGAAATTAAAAGTCCTGGGGAAAACAGTATAATGTCACTGGAGATCATTGAGACTATGATTTAGAGTACTCCTGCGTCACTGTGGCAGTAAGTGTTCTTTTCTCTGAAAAATATTCACATGATCGAACCCACTGGGTTATTTTGCTGCTGTTCTGAGGTTCCCAGAATCTTCCAAACCTTTTTCATGTTGTCATCTCGATTAAATAATATCCCAACCTCTGCACAGCAAAACTGGTTTGAATCCACTTTACAGGTGTCTCCTAAATTCAGGTACTTCCCTGTCGTATATGACCTTGATGTGTCTTGTCCAACAGGGTAAATATGAATGCAGTATTTTGTATATAAATGTAAGATAATACCAGTCAAGATAAATATATAGCTAATAGCATACATGTATTTTTATTTTGGTTCAAAATCATTTCCAGCTGCCATCTTTGTTGTGAGGGGAGGCTAGAGTTTGGATTTAAAAATCGGTTATTGTGCAGCTAATGACTTTTCCTTTGGTCAAGATGCTGAGACAGAATTACTCAAGGGTTGTTACGCTTTTCAGAGTAATGCTTAGCATTGTGGCTTGTATGTAATCATGATATGTAAGAGCCACAAACAGGGGAAAGGTTGGTCCAAGCATGTAGAGCTTGTCTGATAAAGATCATTGTAATGGGTTATAATTGGCTCTGAGGATCTGGGGGTATACTCATACATTATCTGCTTTTATTCCTCTCACTATACACTCTTGTGTAAAATGAAAAGTCATCATTGTTGGGGCATGACACGTTTATGCGTATGTGTTTTATGTTTGTCCTAATTGGCCTGCATGTCTTCATGACTATCAGGACTCGGGAGTAGCTGTCCTGCCCTGGCTCCATGCAGCTGCCTGGCAGAGAGGCTGCAGTGTGACAGTGTGTGTGGGGTGGTGGTGGGCAGCGTGTTACAGAAATCTGAGAAGAGGCTCTCTAAGGAGTGGGCGTTGTTGCCTTTGTCACACTCGCTGATCTTTCTCAAACCGTGGTGGGGCGGAAGGCAGGGAACCCAAACACAAACACATGTTTGAACAAGAAAAGCCAGGAGCGGCTCAAGGACAATCAGCAGGAGGTGTTGCTGGCTAAAACAAGTCTGCTGCTGTTAAACAAGGGACCATCAGGCTTACTGTCAGTTTGTAAATGCAAACAAATGAGCGAGGATGACACATTTTAGCCTCTCATTTAGCAAGTGAGAGGCCACAGTTTAACAAAAATCCAGACTAGTGGTTATAATTTAGTGCTTTGTGATATTCACACAAAAGCTATTCAGCTACTTTGAATGAGAGGCTGGTCATGTGTGAAATTTCTGACACGGCGACGGGGAACGTTTTGGATAAACAGTGATGATAGATTTGGTGTTAGACCAATGCTGTTGTGGGGGGAAAAAAAGAATATTCATTAGAAAATGTCTTTGTCCTCAGAGGGAGAACACTCAACGACTGACCTCAGACAATATTCAGTCTCCCAGTAAGTTTGACCAAAAGCTGTCAGTCTGAGAAGTCACTGGCTGATTCACGCATCAATTATTTGTTTACAAGACGTAACTAATATTTGATTTGTTCTGTGAACACAGATACTTGCCTCAGATACCACACTGTGTAACCACAACTGCAACTGAAGTGTGACTGTTTGAGCATGAGCATGTGTTTAGTTAGAAAAGCCTAAAATGCTGAATGTAGTGGAGGGGGCTGCAGTGAAAAGAGATAAGGAGAGGAGTGTTGTTGGCAGTTGTGGGCCTGGCCCGGATCCCATTCTACAACTCTTATCCGTATCTGCTCTGGGCTGACGGAGAGTTAGAAAGAAGCTGAGCATCAAGATTCTCACATCCGCTGAACATAATGGTCACCACGGGGTGGAGAGGAACACGGGGGCTGTGCAAGCTGTTCCCTATTTCAGTTCACTCAAAACAGCAAATTGTAAGTAAAACAGGGATGGGTTATTTAAGCAGAGGGTAGATTTCAGCTGTCATCTGTTAATGCCCAACTGTAAACTAGTGTGCTGTCAACCTCTCTGTTTCCTTTGTATGGATTGGTTTTGTTCTACAATGGCATATGTTCAACCTAGTGCATTGGCTAACGTGTCATTTCACATCAGTGGTGCTTCCTCATCTGGGATTATGCAGATTTTTAAGGGATTGAGCAATTTACTGCAACTAATAGACAAAGGAAACAAAGCAACACAGACAATTTGTGCGTCTGTCAACTTTCCTCTGAACAAGAATTAGTAGATCTTCTGAGGAGTTCCTCTAGGACTAATTAGGACAGAAAATTGGAAGCGGCATGTGATTTTGTGCACAGCAGTGACCGCGTTTCACATCATCTTCTACAGCGTACAACCAGTCTATGGAGCACAGCATCCACCTCTCGACCCGCGATTGCGACGCACGTGAGTGAGCACATGAGAACTGGACTGCATGGTGTCAGGTCACCCCTGTGGATGCATTTTGTTCGTGGCCCTCCCATTTTCACACTTTGTTTTGCAGCTAATTGCTTGCTGTGAAGACCTGAGCATGTGTGGATTGTATGCAGTACCAATATTGACATTTACATTCCTCTGCCTGTTTGATCATCCTTTTTTGTTGGCTTTCCAGTTTTGTGTCATTGTGTACTTTAGTGATACCATCTCTTAACTGAGTATAAATCAACAATGGCTGCTGCCATGACTGAGACTGTTCAATTCTTTTTTTCTGGCTTTCTTTGTTTAACCTCTGGATCTGTCCCCCTGCAGGTATCCCAAAGACACAAAGCCCAAATTCAACAATCTAAAAACAAAAAAGGCCTCTAGCTTCCACGAGTTTGCCCGCAGCACCAACGATGCTTGGGACATCGATGATGAAGAGGACAATGATTTCCTCGGGACCCCCGCCCCAACTTCATCCCTTTCATCAGGCCTGCACTCTACGTCTGCACAGAACCAGGTGAGTACAAGACATCATTTTTACCACCACGGGTATGGGCTTGGTGTAAAATAAACCGATATTCTGAAGTGTTTCCTGTTGTCCTCGCAGCAGCAGAGTTGGGCAGGCGACTCGGAGAGCAAGATGTCACACAGACTGGCCTCTCCTAGCTCAGAACCTCAGGACCTCCAGGATGTTCAGGAGGAAGACGTGGACCGTGAGAACGTCAATGGAAAGGTTGTCAAGTCTAATAGTGAGGCCCACCTCAACACGTCCTCAGGTTTGTGACTCATGTTAATTAACATTAAGAGTGATGGAGCAGCTTATCAGGTGATTCATAGTAAAGCTAATGAGAGATTGTGTCAGGACCACTTGGGTTCTCAGGCCATCTACCATGCAGAACATGTACAGTCTGAAACACTCTAAATTCTCATGGTACTATATTCATTCAATAATCTCATGGTGACAAATTTCCAGTGAGATTATTACCACTGGGGGTGGGCGGTACACACAGTGATGTCATAGTCATCACTGGTGTGATAGTTCACCATGACATGGATTGAACAATACCATTATCACCGTGATCAATCAAATCAACAGCCTAATTATATTTAAAAAGGAAAACATAACTGCTATATCAGTCGCTCCTTCATGCACGGCACGTTGTTAAAAAGGGTGCCGGGTAGTTTGATTGTTGTATCCTTGGTGTTTTGATAAACATATTTTTATATAATAACCTTATATTTTCTTGCATGGCCCTCTATAGTCCGATCCACGCTGCAGAAGCAGCAGTCTCTCCCAGTTCGTCCCATCATCCCACTGGTGGCGCGGATCTCAGACCAGAATGCATCCGGGGCACCTCCCATGACGGTGCGGGAGAAGAGCCGACTGGACAAATTCAAGCAGCTGCTTGCCAGTCCCAACACTGATCTAGGTACAGTAGAAGAGCAAACCACACAGCTACACATTTTCATAGTGTAGATATGAGTTCTGTTTAATTGTCATTTGAGAGAGAAGAGGGTTAAGTTGACCTGCGTCATACACATTCTGCTGTCAGAATTCAGCATTACATGCCAGCACTTCACTCTAAGTTACAGCCAGCTGAATGTGCTGTGTGTTTCAGGGTGTTGATCGCTGCTGTGGTTTTCTACCGAGTGTTAATCATTTGTGCTTCTATCTTGCTCCGTGCTGTTTGCAGAGGAACTCCGGAAGCACAGCTGGTCAGGTATTCCAAAGGAAGTCCGGCCAATCACATGGAGACTTCTCTCTGTAAGTCTCATGTCCTTCATTTTTAAATTATCACACATTTCTAGCTGGTTACGCAGCATCCTGTCTATATTCCAAGGTAACATTTTCTAGGGTCTGTGTAGCCATTTCCAGCTCTTTGGGAAAATGCTCACATAAAGCCTTATCCATCCCTTGTCTTCAGGCTTCTCTCGTGTCCTGTTCTGTTCCTCTGACACTGTTCATGTAATCAAGAAGACGTTTCCTCTCACCGACACTTTCTCTTCTGTATTTTCTCTGTGGTGCTCTGACAGGGCTACCTGCCAGCCAACAAGGACCGCAGAGAGCTGGTGCTAAAAAGGAAGCGAGAAGAATACTTTGGATTCATAGAGCAGTATTACCACTCCAGAACAGATGAGCACTACAAGGACACATACAGACAGGTAAAATTGACAAATATAAATAACCGTTCTACTGCTAATGTGTCAAAATCAGTAAACACCACCATTTTAAAGCCTTTGACTATCCTGAGTAACATTTTAATGTTTGTAATCTTTCTTCCTGTCAGATCCACATCGACATTCCAAGAACCAACCCTCTGATTCCCTTGTTCCAGCAGCCTGTAGTACAAGAGGTAAGATCTAAACTACTGCACAACAGAGGCATTACATTATCAATACAGAAGGAGTAACTTTGCCTAATTTGTCTGTGGGTGTGTGGTTGAGGTTTTCCTCATGTTGGGGGGACTTCCTTATGGGGACAAAAAGCAAGTCCTTATAATATCAACTTTTATATTCTTGGATATATTCGAGACATGTAGCGGTGTGGGGTTAGGTTGAGGTTATGGTTAACCAAGTAGTAGTTATGGTTAAGGTTAGAGTCTTCTGGAAATGAAGGTAAGTCCGTGTTAATCATTGAATGTGGCCAGCTGGTATTTGTGGTTGGTGAGCGGTGCACTTGTGTCTGAAGTAATGTTAAATGTCAAATGTATACAGAGGAAACACTGAGATGGAAACTCTAACTTTGTTGCTTTTTTGGTTCATCTGTCCAGTTAACTCAAGCTAGATCCTTTATCATGAAGCAAAATCAGTAGGTTATCAGCTAAAGCCCCTTATAGAGGCTACATCATGTGATTAAGAGAAATGTTTGACCTCTCATCTAAGAGGCTTCTTCAGTTCAGCACGCCGATCTTTTCAGTGAAGAATAGATTCATATCTCGTGGCCATTAATTAGTTATATTGTTCCTACATCTTAATAACTTGTGGCCACACCTAATTAGCGTATGTGTAGCCTCACTTTGACAAAGATCTCCTTTACACAGTAGTAGAAGATATAATGCACCAAAGCATGTCTGTAATGGCTTAACCATTTAAACATCATCATAACAATGTCCAAGCTTTTCTTTAGCCTTGATATTTGGTCATAATTCCTATTTCCATTGTTTTCCCACATTATTCAGGTCTCACCTCGCTGTAAATCACTCTTCACAAGCTCCTGGTGGTTATCTCACACTATATTAAATACTTCACTCATGGCTGCTAATAGCTGCTAATAGCTGGGAATGGCGACTATAATATTGAGATTTACTTGGTTTGTGATGGAAGCATCATAAATATATCAAGGACTCAATAATCACAGGATGTGTAAAAGAGAGATTTCTTTGAGGTGAGAGATTTTATGAAGAATGCTAAGTTGTACATGTTATGTTGATCTGTTTTTGACTCAGATCAGAATATTTAGATTTCTCGTCAAAACTCTTGGTTTGAACCAACTTTAATGTGAACTAGTGCTGTGTCCATTGTAAACTGGCCTGTTTGGAATGGGGTGTTTGCTTGGCCTGCTACTACTAAAACTAGAGAAACCCTTTAATTGTCAAAAATACAACATGCGACACTCCTACAGTAATGCTGCAAGACAGCAATTTACACTTATGCAACTGACATTGACTCAATAAAATACTTTCACAGTCATCAAACTCTCACCAAGATGATGATGATTATCAGAGGAAAAGCTTGTAAACTCATGTTGCATTGATTCTGTGATCTCTATACTACTGTGTTAGAGATTGCAGTAAATACAGATCTGGTATCAACATCTCTGTCTGACTCAGTGAATATTACTCACATGAAATTATGTTTAAAGAATTGAGACAGAGCAAGAGTTGAACATTGTATTTCAAAGCACCTTTCCTGAAAATACTAAATCTGAAACTTAAGAATCATAATGAAAATGATACCATTGGTGTTTGCCCTGTAATCTCAGTCAATATGCTCCACACCTCTGCTAATCAAACATGTTGTCATCTGTCCTTCCTCAGGTGTTTGAGCGTATCCTCTTTATCTGGGCCATCCGTCACCCAGCCAGTGGCTACGTCCAGGGCATCAATGACCTAGTCACACCCTTCTTTGTGGTCTTCTTGTCAGAGTTTGTCAGTAAGTTACTGGTGTGAGAATTTCCTGTTAGAGCCCCATTATCTTCAGATGGTCAGATTCATGACCCTACATTTTACAGTGTTGGTACCAAATCCAGGTTCATAAACATGTCTTTAAGCCACCTCAGCAAAGGGCAGCATTGAGGAATCATATCCAGCTCATATCTGCATGATCACTGTTGTCTTGTTTTTCAGTGGAGGATGTGGAGAACTTTGAGATGGCAGCGCTGCCTCTGGACACCCAGAGGAACATCGAGGCTGATAGCTTCTGGTGCATGAGTAAGCTGCTGGACGGAATCCAGGTCTGCTCACACACAAACACATCACTGAACATAAAACAATAAAATGTGCCAGTTTACTTAGCCTGTTCTTTTCTCAGGATAACTACACCTTTGCTCAGCCTGGAATCCAGAACAAAGTGAAGGCTCTAGAGGAGCTGGTCAGCAGGATAGATGGTGAGTGGACTCCTGACAGTTGTCATCCATAACTGTACTTTTATGTGAGGTGCTCTGCTCATTCCTCCTTATTTTGATTTTTGAGCTTGTTTACAATTCGCTTCTACTTGCTTAATCTGATTGAGTGCCCTGTGTGTGTGTGTGTGTTTGTTTATTTGTTTGTTTTGTCTGTCTTCAGAGGACATTCACAATCATTTCAAGAAGTATGAGGTAGAGTACCTGCAGTTTGCTTTCCGGTGGATGAACAATCTGCTGATGAGGGAGCTGCCTCTTCGTTGCACTATCCGTCTCTGGGACACCTACCAGGTAGCGCAGACTGGACACCATGATAAAAAAGAAATTTAAAAAAAATTTGACTGGGTTCAGGTGTTGAAGCAGACTATTACCTGTTCATTATCTTTGCCTGTCACATTTGAATCATGGATGTAATTGTGTTGTGATCGGCTGCAGCCCTGATCTGTTTCTTCCGCAGGCTGAATCAGAGGGTTTCTCCCACTTCCACCTGTACGTCTGTGCTGCTTTTCTCATTGAGTGGCGCAAAGAAATTCTCTCCATGGTTGACTTTCAGGTATCACTGTCTTAGCATTTGCTCACACATGACTGAGAAAGAAACTGAAACTAAATACTGAGAGCAGAGCTAACAGATGAAGTCAAGACACATATTCATTGTAAAGACAGGGTTCATAGAAACTCTTGAATCTTGGCATCTCAATATCCCCAATTCAACTTGAAGAGCTGGATTTTCCCTTTAGATGACTTGAAATTTTACACCTGATAATTACAGACTGACGTACACATCAACCACAGATATCCAACAAGAAGATCTGCAGATCACTAACTTCTGTTAGAACTGTTTTACAACTAGCTCCAGTATAATACTGTGTTGCATCCATAGCTTGATGCTTCTGGGGTGACAAACTGATGCTTAACTTATCAGTGAAAATTATAACAAAAAGTTAAATTGTCATTTCATACCCCGTCTATCATTATCATCATAACAACTGATCACTAAATCAGCTGATTTATGGATTGTTGGTGCAGGAGCTGGTTTATAATTTTGAATTTGAAAGTAACACATTTCACCATTTTGAATAATTTAGTTTGACACACAGTTATAAGTACTTGGAGTTATGTTTGTGCCGCATTCCTTAATATGTGACATTTCGAGTACAGAATCCGTTTTAATCCAAGCACATGATACAATTTAATGTTAATATTTGTTAAAATCCTCTTCATGTGCTGATAGCATCAATATATACATAGTTGTCAAGGAAAAAAAGAGAAAAGCTGGTGTCTGTGGCCTAATAAAATGATTGGCTAGAGCCCTAGTCTGTCACTAACCAACCTCCCTGCCTCCGTGCACCCCGCCCATGCTCTCAGTGCCCATGAACACTATCTTCACAAGCTGGAGGGACACACACCGCTGAAGCAGAGATGATAGTAGTTAGAGAGCGAACGGAAAAGTTATTTTAGCACTTGTCAGGCAGCGCACATTAGGGGGGGCGTAGCGTTGACGAGATGGCAGATGAGTGGGGTGGGATGTATTTCTTGCAGTTTTTCAGTGTATCCTGCTCTTGCTAGTTTTTCCCAGATTACAAACCCTAGCTTTAATTGTGGAGTTGTGGCACACTGTAACAGTCAACCAAGTAGAACGAGTGAAAACGTAAAACTAAGAGTGAGAGCAAAAGAGACTTTGGAGACGCAAGTTAAGATTCTTTATGTGACAATATTTACTCTACAAAATATAACTGATGTGCTTCCTGTGCTCAAAATATCCCTCAACAACTCTAACTTCATATCAGCGGGCGATAGCAGCTGTTGTCCCTGTGTTACATTATCACATGTTTGCTAAAAATCCATGTGTGAGTTGATGTCAGCAGCAGACGGCAATCCACACAAACTACACATGCTTCCCTGTAGTACACACAGGAGGTTGAAGCACTGCTTTGTTGCTGAAAAGTCAGAGATTGGCCCACGTATTTTATATATTTCTGAAATCTTACATACTCTGTTATTAACTGCTCTACTTTCCAAATATAGTGTGAAAGTCATGAAATGATTCTCTGTTGCTCTTCAGGGCCTCCTCATGCTACTGCAGAATGTTCCCACAATCCATTGGGGGAACGAGGAAGTGGGTCTCCTCCTGGCTGAGGCTTATAGACTGAAGTACATGTTTGCAGATGCACCCAGCCACTACAAGAGATAGACCCAGGGCCTCGTCGTCTCAGCAAACGCAGTACTTTTAAACTTCAAATCGAACCAGACTGTGACTGCGAGAGACACGCTCCATTCGGAGAACCTCGGAAAAAATGAAGTGTCGTCTCTGAGGTAGAGACTGGTGTATTCAAGTGCAGCTCCAGGAGACATGTCTGATGTTTCCTCACAGCCACTGAACTTCTCCTGTGAATTTCCACTGAACACCATGGCTCATGGTGCAGGCATCGAGCTCAGTACAATGAGATTATTTGCAGTTATAGTACTGCACTGTATCAATGGACTGTTACCATAACCATAGCTATGCCATTTTGGTGGACCTGTACTGTTGGACAAGCTACACTGATTGTCTCTCAAGTCGAGCGTACACTGAGCTGTACGTGCTGTAATATAAAGGGATGATGAATGTTTGTGAGATCATCCTTAAGCGAAAGATGACTATTTTTTTTGCAGATTAGATGTAGTTGAAGTTTTACAGTGGGAACATATTAGGTGCAACCCAGGCAACTAAAACATCTTGTCATTTTCTTTTTACAAACATGTTTAGTCTGACACTGTTGAGCTGTTCTAAATAAGGACTAAGACAGCTAGTTTGTGGGTATATGTTGGGTCAGGGTTACCAAATCTGCACTGTACAATCAACCAGTCAGAGTTCAGAGTTTGGGCTCAATCACTCAATTGAATCAGTTTCCACTAACGATATGTTGGTTTGTATTTAGGTCTCAGACCTAAGAGTAGCAAGGTAGGTACTCTGTTTCCTTTCAGGTTCTGTTTTGGTGGAAGGTGGAGAAACTGATTTGATATTAGTTTGTCCCACTGTTTTCTTTTGAGAATAAATACGAGGACCTTGTGTTTCAACACTGGTACACTTTGAAATTGACTGCCTCAGAAGGGATCAGAAACATGGGAAGAACTTCAGGTTTGGAACTCATTCATATGTCTGCTGAAATGGGTCGAATTTAATGTTGCAACTGACTTAGATTAATCTAAACATTGTTTCCCTTTCGGCAAAAATACAATTTGAGTTAAAGATTGTAGCACATATTAACACTCTTCTAACAGCACAAAACATGATCAGTGTTTGTTTTACCTAAATTTTTATGCATAACAATAAGAGTAGTATTCTTATTAATGATTGGTATTCTCACTGTGCAGTATCAAATTAAAATCCTGTGGCCATTGTAAAATAAAAAAAATTGGAATTGCAGATAATAAAAGTCGTTTAGTATGATTGTTTATGGAGATCTTGAACTGAGGAAGTTCCCCTGTCAATATCTGTTGGTACTGAAAGACATTTAGTGGCACATTCCTACTGACGGACACAGTGCAGCTGTGCATTCTTAGCATACTCCATCCTGTCAAAGTGTAACATGGATAAATGTTAATGCTCGTGTTTTTTATGTGTTTCTGATTTGGTTTGCTCTTTCCTGTGTTTATTTGTAACATCATTCTTTCGGCGTGTGTGTGTTTTTGTGAGTGTGGTTAGGGGGAGGGTGTTACTATTACTCATCTACCTTCATTACCAGTGATAATTATTATACAACCCTGTTCATTGTTGATCACAACACATTCAATTTTGAAGCATTACAAGTCTTAATTCGGGTCCAGGAACAGGTCGGGTCACTTTATGACATTATATTCAGTAAGGAAGACACTGTGATGCTGAAAACTAATTACTGAATTCGATCATTTTTATTTTTGGAAAAGTCTTAACAATCTTAAACCTGTTTATAGATCATTCATTCAGTGAGTTTGGCATTATTAATCCACCAGTAATCTCGTTTTTATCCACCTTGTTTCAGCTGAAACATGGTCACAGTTTGCCTTCAGCCTTAACGTTGGTTTTCTTCATTCAGGTGCACCAACTGATTGTGTCCCTACAATGATGGTATTGGTCACTCCATGCTGTGCTTATGTTAAAGATCACGTGTCGTCAAGACGCAATGTCGATAACTAAAGGCCGACAAAAACTGAGAACTTGCTGATTTGTACCAAGAAGTGTTTGTGCTGTTTCAACATTCATCTTTATTGGGCCAATACAATGTGTTTTATTAGAGTTCACTGCTGGCTCCAGCCATGAATGAAGAAAAAATAAAATGATTACAGTACTTGCTGTATGTTAACTTTTTGTTTATATTAAACGATTGTTATACAAGTGCCAAAATGAAGAGTGTGTACTTTTTTGTGTTGTGTTTTTGCCGGTCACAACGCAACTCACAACTCCTTCCTTTTCTTTAACTTGAACTTTATTGGGAATAAAGAGCAGCAACAACACTATACAGGCACAATGCAGCACAAGGGGACTGTGAAAGGAAACAGCAACACATTAAGTTTGTTCAAACGTCTAATCTGAGCGATGATTACAGAGTTTTATTCTTGCAAAACAGAATTAGATACATCACATTTTCTCATTTTTTATTTGGTAAGATCATACCTGTGTTAACTTGTCTCTAGAGATAGAAGCTGGTAAAGAACAGATGTTTTATTTCAACCATCAGAAAGAGCTTATAATTAATACTTATAATTTACATATTTTTTCTTGGAGTATTGGGAATGTATCTCAGAGTCTTTTTTTCTCATCAAATTTGTGAAATATGTTTTATTTTGTCACCTCTGGATTATTATTTCAGTGAGATAATGTATTACAAAACATATCTAATTCCTTGTCCAGTATTAAAAATATCAAAAAAAAACGCTGAACTTTATTGATGCCATATATACAGGCCCTCTCTGTCCCTGTTCTTCTATATAGATTTTACAACTACACACACACAGACACAGACAGACATATACATTTTACAACAATAACAATGTATATATATATATATATATATATATATATAATATGTGTGTGTGTGTGTATATGTTTATAAATGTATATACATATATATTAGAAAATTAGGACATTTACTTGTTACAGCAGCAGAAAGAAAGTGTAGTATACAGAAATTAAAGTTGAAAAGGCAATAACACAAAAAACAGACAGAAATTTCTGTAACCTACACAATAAAAAAAGAAAACAATCAACCTGCAAAATATATATATATATATATATATATATATATATATGTATATATATATGTATATATGTATACGATATAAAAATAAAGTGAGATAAATTACGTGATAAGTGACGTACCGGAAGTGATCCGGACAGCTCGGTGGTGAAGCCCCCCCTCCGGACAAACAAACTTGTGTTTAACTTTCGCAGCCATGTCAGTCAGACACGGAGGGTTAACACGAGGACCCGTGAGGCCCTGACCAGCCGCGGTGCTCCCGTGAATCTGACGGAGAGCGGAGGTAAGTCGAGCCGCAGGGCAGGCAGCTTTTATTAGCTTTATTAGCCGTATTAGCTCAGCTAGCTTGGAGCTAACGTTAGCCGAACACGCAGTGATCCTGTGCAAAGTAGCGCGAGCTCTCCGCCGTGTCACAGCTCCTCTCATATATTCACCTGAGGAGAACCCCCCCCCCCCCCCCCCCCCCCCCCTCTACAGAACATCAAGCTAACGAGTAGTTACGATTCCCCAACAAACTTGGCTAGCTGTTGTGTGCACTTCACTGTCGGGGATTAGCAGCTTGGTAGCTCTCAGGTTAAAGTCTCATCTTTTTAAAACACTGCTGCTGATTTGATTTAGTCTCTTGTACTTGTGCAGTTTTCAGGCCGATGACTTAAACGCGTGCTGGAGAGAAGCTCGGTGAAAAAGGAGGATGGATGGAGTCAGCTGGAGCACAGCTCGGACCCCGGAGTCGTTCAGTCGCTCCAGGACATCAACAGACACTCTGTCCCGGCTCGCCAGCTTCATCGCTCGGGCAGACACCAAACAGCACACACACGCCCAGAGGCAGCGACCGTCCCACCTGCCGGTGTATGTTTGTTCAGAGTGTGGCAAGAACTTCCCTTATGCAGAAGATCTGTTGCAGCACCAAGAACTAAAACACTCATTACCCAAACCTCACCGGTGTCCCTCCTGTGGGCAGGAGTTCTCCCTGCGGTCGTCCTTGCAGCTACACAAGTGTGATGGTGACTCCTCTCCGTGTGAACTTTGTTGTGGAGAGTCACGGCACGGCTCTCCGTGCACGCATCACACCATAGATCCCGGCAGGCCCCAGGAAAAGTCACTCCACCTCCAGCCTCACGTCCTGGACAGCAGCCCTTACGCGTGTGCTCCCTGTGGGAGAGGATTCAGCCAGAAGCAGGCCCTGCTGCAGCATCAGCAGGCTGGCTGCAGTGAACCGCCATCCCCGTCAGATGTAGTTGATGCGAGCAGCCTTCCAGATGATTCTCCTCCAGTTTCTGAGGGAGACACAACCCGCTCTGATTCCTCAGACACCCCAGGGCCCAGCAGCAGAGCTGTCCGTCTGTGCCAATTCTGTTCAAGAAGCTTCCGTACAGAGGCCGGTCTGCAACGCCACAAGCAGTGTAGCCACCCCAAGGAGCAGTCGAGGGCCCCACAGCGACAAAAGACCAAAGGAGAATGTACCAGTGGAGACACAAGGAAAGGGGGAGATGCCAATAAACATCCAAATAAAAATTCCAAATCCAAAAAGAAGCTTCTGAAATGTCGCTCTTGTGACATGGTTTTCATGAGCACCTCCAAGCTCTACATGCACAGGAAAGAGAAGCACAGCAGAGAGAAAAGTACCAGGAGAGATCCGAAGCCAGTCGTCAAAAGGCGCTGGAGAGGAGATGGGAATCCGTGTCAGGTCTGCGGCAAAGTCTTCTTCCATCATTTGTCACTTAAGGCACATTACAGATGGCACACAGCCTCAAGCTTCTCTACAGTCAACGACAAAAGCCTGTCTGAGGGAAGCAGCGCCAAAGACTACAAGTCACCGGAAAATAGACCAAATAACGTAAAAGCCAACTTGAAAGATAAGAAGGGAAGGCCTGGACCAGGGAGGCCCAGGAAAGTGCCCATTTTAGAGATTAAGGAGAGTGTGAGGAGATGCAAGGAAGTGCCTGAAGAGAAGGAGGCAGAGGAGGAGGAAGAGAGAGAGTTCCCATGCCCCTCCTGTGCAGAGGTTTTCTCTCTGCATTCCGAGCTCAGGGAGCACATGGAGCTCCACCAGTCGTCTGTGAAGAGGAGGCACTGCAGTGTGTGCACGAACGAGATGGACACCTGTAAATGGCCGGGCTCAAAGAGGCACAGGCTGTACCACTGTGTGCCCTGTCAGCAGGGGTTCTCAGCCATGGACTCTTTCCTAGAACACTGTCAGGAGCACCTGCGAGTCAGGGTGGAGGAGGACGGCCTCACAGAGGGCTCCGTGCAGCAGGCCACTAAAGTCTGACATCCACTTTAAATGTCATCAGCGATTTACCTTTTTTGCCTTGAATGGCCAGAGAGCTGAGAGGGATGAGGGGGGAATTCATGTTGATTAACCAGTTCATTCACTGAGCGCTCAGAGTATCCTGCTTTAATTAGTCCAAGGGTTTAATTCATTCACACCAACACAGCAAAAGTTGAAGAAATTGGTTGATAAAGGCTCATTGCAGAGTATTAGTGTATTAGTATCAATCAGATATACTTAACTGCCAACCATTCTAGTGTTTTTTCTATAGTGGCCATTTAGTTACTGTTTGATGCTATCACTGCATGTTTTTTATTTGCAAAGTGAATGTTGATGTGGTGTCTATGGGACAGATCTCCAACAATCTCTGATAGGACCAGTTGTTCTGTTGCGAAATTGAACGACCCAAAAAATTACAAAAGGGATAAAGTGTATGTTGTTAACCAGCCATCTCCTAAGCTGTCTTCAGACATGAACTCCGGAGGATGTCCGCATAATTGGGTCCGAACTTTCACGAGAGATTGTCCTTCACGTATGAAGAACGCAGCAAAAGATTCTCCGTCCAGACGCGTTCACAACAACATAGAAATCTCCAGAGTGTTGAGGTGAGGGGCGGTGCAGAGGCAGGAGGTAACTCCCGCTGCAGAAATCATGCATTATATTTGACCACACAGTCACGTGCAGCGGCTCATCACCATCCTGAAATATTTGCAGCCTTTTTGATTGATTTTTATTTTTTTAATTTTGCATCTGTCGCATGTAAGAAACGTCATTAACAGACTCTACCCTTGAATCATGCGGAGGATCCCCCTGATCTTTTACTAAAGGACTGTTTTGACGAAACATAAAGTCAACACGTTCACTGAGATGGATCACCTATGTCTAAAGTTGTCCACACGTTTTTTGTTTTTTTTAATCTATTATTAGTAGTAAAACACTGAAAGTTGTGGTAGTGTGATAGGTTGTAAAACGTGCAAAAACAAGTGTGCTTCTTAAATCGTCTGAATCTGACATGGGAATTATCCAAATGACCAGTTTCCCTGTTTAATTAAATTTTGGCCTGTGGACTAATCTGAAAGTAATAGAAATGAGGAAAGAAGTCAATATTTGCAAGTGCTTCACCAGGGGTAGAGCGATACCTCACAAGGGGAAGTGAAAGTTGAGCCTTTTTACGCTCTGTTGCAACTCTTTGAAATTCACAGAGGATTTTACCCAGCCTGATGCCTCTCAGTATGTCTTCAGCTGGCTCGAACTCTATTACCTCAATGTGCTAAATGATAGACCCTTTATGTCTGTGGGATGAGTAATGAGTGTGCTTGGTGAATGAAAAGGATTAACATGACTTTCTCTGTAGTTTGTTATAAAAGCTTTTAAGCTACTGTTTTCAAAGAGCTACTGTGAAAATATAGAAAATCACTTAATAGTTTTGGAATCTTCCACTTTTTCAAGGTCTTTTGTAAAATAGTTTATGGCTCTTTGTAGATAAATATTATTAAAACATTCCAAAAACTGTTTTCGTTCTAATGATTATCTGTGTCATACTGGTAAACTGGGAAGTCAGTGTGATCCTGAGCCCTGACATTGACTCTCTCTGCATTGTTGACAATCTGAGCAGTTCCCTACACTCTGTAAAGGTTCAGTGTGTAGAATTCTGTGGTGAATTTGCATGTTGCAGCTGCCCTTCCAAACATAAAAAAAACCTGTGGTAGGCTTCATTTTTTATGAAAACTCAAAAGGTGTTTAGTTTGTTGTAGTATAATTTTTGGTCACAATATGAATGTCACCATATACCTTCAATCTGCACTACAATCTAATGTATGTTGGAGTATAAAGAGAAACTTAATTTACTGATGATTACAAGTTTAACACAATAATGACGAATCAAACATATCAAATATATCATCAAATATACTCAGTGTGTTTCAAGCAGTACATGTGTATGTATAACTTGTGTTAAGAATAATAATCTTTTCTTTTTTTTTAAAAGCCAATCTGACAAAAAGGAAACATAATGGTGTCAAAGCAGAGACAAATATCTTTTTTTTTAAGAGTAAAAGGTTTGGACAGAATATATTGGTGTCAAGAGTAAAAACTGTTTAAAAGAAAAAGAGACATGTCAGGGCAAGATAGGGACTTTCCAGAGGAAAAGTCCCAGTTCCAAGGCCATCCAAAGCAACCCAGGTGCTTGGAGACTTTCCAGGGGTGAACTCAAGCCCAAGGCCATCCACAGGAACCACAGAGAGTGACGAAGATCGCTAAGGGGCCTTAGGGACGGCGATATAAAGAAAAGTGCACAAAATCGCTCGAGAGACAATAAGAGCTACAAAGTAGTATAAATTAGAAAAATTACTGGCCAGAAAAGAAAAAGGAAAAATACAGAAAAAGCAAGACAATAGAGAGCAGTAACCTCTCTCACACCCTCACACACTCATACACACGCACACAGAACAGTGTCTCTAGCAGTGTGAGGTGGAGACATAGCAGGTGAACACACAAGCCTCACATTCGTTATAAGGGCCAGTTGCTGTGGTATAGTCCTGGCTGGCTGGCTGGCTGTTCTGCTCTGGGTCACGGTGACCTGACAGGCGTTAACGGAGTAACCCTCTGACGCCTCACAAACTAACGGGTGGGACAGTGTCTTTAGTAACCTGAAACACTGTACTAGTAGAGAAAGAATTTATACAATTAATACATAGTACTAGTAGAGAAAGAACATTGTTAAATAAAAGAGAATTGTTAAGAATTGATGGCCTACAGCAACTAGAAAATGAGACAACTGTGGGACATGTAATCTTGGGTATTTTAACTTTAATAGTGTTCCTTTTGTTTTTCAGTGGAGTGCTGTGGAGATTAATAGAGGACTGGACATAAAGTTGGATAAAAATAAATGTGAACGGAAGAACATAGGGAGGGCAGTAGTAGTGAAGACGAAATCATTAATCCCGTAACACAAGGAGAGATGCAGGGTATAAGAGCACATTTCTGGTTAGAAAGAACAGACTATGATGAGGGTGGTGTAGAGAATTGGCAAACTGAACAAAAAATTGTCAAAAACTGGCAAATCACTAAAATCATAAACTTAACACAGACAAAGGAAGAATTTCCTGTCATCCCGTGGGAGACTATAATACGTGGTCTGTGGGTCCCCTTCACTTTAGCACCAATACTAGAATATTTGTGTAATCGACCAGCTGCGACAGCCACATTCCCTTTGTGTCCCTTTTTGGGGATTCCTGAAGGATTGACCATAGCAGGTAGAACTAGAGCAGCAGTAGATCCAAGGCTCGATATAAGCATCGTCCCCAGAAGTGTAGAGTGCATGGGAAACGGGGAAATTCGGATACATAACTAAAACCCCGGCCGAAGACGGGTATGAAAATTTGAAATTCAATCCCATGAGAAAAGCTATTATAAAGAAAGGAGTGACAGTGAGTAAAATATTAATATTAATAAGGACAAAAGCTCACCCTGAGCCAGAAATTCCTAGACTATGAGGCAGTGCTAGGCAAGGATTTATGGGAGCTAAAATGGGGAAGGGAAAGGGATTGCTGACCCCAGTGGCGCTAGTGATAAGACAGCAGCCTGACCATGCTAAACAAATAAAACACTGCATGAATAAATGGCACAGGCGAACATCAGGACGACTACAGTGGCCAAAGAATGGAACCTGCCCCCGCGCAACCGCCTCCTTGTACAGAGCTGGCAGCAACAGGCCTGTATCCAATGCCTTTAAAAAAATATATTTTCTAAAAACAACTGAGGGTTTACTGACAGGAAAGTTCACAGTGAACTGGTGCACTCAGCCTGGCCAAAAAGAAACATCACAAGTTGATGACGTGAGCAGCTCCTGTTCAAGCAACGAATCATGCAGCACAAGCTATAAAGGGATTCAGCGACCAGATAGCGAAACTGAGGAAAAAGAGCCACAAAGGAGGAGAACAACGAATAAAGAAGTGAAGATGGAGCTTGAGAGTTACTCGAACTGTAAATCACCCCCACAGCTGATAAACAGCACACCAAGAGAGACTGCCCTCACTCCCAGAGCAGGGAGGATCCCACTCATACACCTCTAACACAACAGAGAGAGAAGCTGTACCGGCCTGGAGGAAGGTACTTGCCTTTCAAGGTTAAACAGAGACGCTTGAAGCAAAGATAACACAGCTGAGACAAGAAGCTGCAGAACTACAAGCCCCAGCAGAGTCGCCACAGGAAGTAAACCTGCGGTTATCAGGCACCATGATGACGACAGACGCCAGGCATTGGAGGAGCGACGCCGGCGGGAGGTGGAGGAACTGCAACAATTTGACCTGGCTCCCAGCCCACGTTTCCTCAGCAATCTGACAGATGAGCAGGCAGAGCCAGATCCAGAGGAACAGAATAATTTAATGAGACTTAGGAGTGGAACACAGATGAGAGCATATCAGAAAACAACGTTGTTCTCTTAGGACGTGATATCCTGTGTCCCTTGAAAGCAAAAATCCAATGCACCCGAGGTGGTCTGGAACTGGACTTCCTGGATGGGCCAGCCCACCGACTGATGAAGTCACAACAAGCTGTGCAAAACAACACGACCAGCCACACACACATACTATCGATCGTCTACTGGATGCTGCAACATATATGTGGGACCCCAAGGAGTGGCAGCAGCTGTGACACTTCCACCAGAGATTCATCAGTGGTGCCCAACTCCACTCCACACATCACCCTCATGGTCACAAAAGGCCATGACTCACGTGACCTGGGCCCGATGATGAAAACTGCTGTACAGGTGTCAGTCTGGCGCCCCACTGAGGATGCATCCATGTCTCCTCTAATGGTCAATACCTTCGAATATCCTTACGAACTTTTGATGAAGGCACAGCCACCCCTGGCACTACTATCTCTCTCAAACGAACATAACACATTGCTGAGTAAAGTACCTCACTTAGTGTGGTCACAACATAAGACAGATGTAGGGCTAGTACAGTCAGCACGACCTCACCTTGTTAAACTAAACCCAAACATAGTATTACCATACAAAAAGCAGTATCCTCTAAAAGCACATCAGACAGCTGGTATAAAACCCACTATTGACGGTCTAATAACAGCTAGTGTATTCATAATAACTAAAAACCCCTGTAACAAGCCCATTTACCCAATCAAGAAACCAAACTCAGATCGACTAATGCATGATCTACAGGTAATCACTTCTATTGTGGATGCAGAGACACCCATCGCTCCAGATCCACATACATTACTCTCAAACATTCCACCCCAAACATGTTTGTACACAGTGATTGATTTGTGTTCTGCATTCTTTAGTGTGCCGCTCCACCCAGACTCCCGACACCTTTTTGCTTTTACATATCTAGGACAGCAGTACACGTACACTCGTCTTCCACGAGGCTATGTAGAAAGCCCCACAGTATTTAATAGAGTATTAGCGCATGACCTGCAACATTTGAAAGTAACAAGCACTGTTATTCAATATGCAGATGACCTTTTAACATGTAGCCATGCTAAATCTCAGTGTGAGGAAGACTCAATCTCAGTCCTGTCTGCATTGGCTAAGGGGGGGGGGGGGCACAAAGCCAGTAAAGATAAACTACAGTTCTGCCAGTCACAAGTTGAATATTTAGGCAGACAACTTTGTGGTAATAAACGTGCAATAGCACCCTCACAGATTGAATCTATAACAAAAGCTCCCAAACCACAAACGGTGGGACAAATGTTGTCATTTCTGGGGATGGCAGGGTTTAGTCGACCATGGATCTGCGATTATGCTATTAAAACTGCCCCGCTGCGAGCTTTAATCCAAGTGGGACAAACAACAGCTGAATTATTATGGACAGCTGAAGCAGGAGGATCCTTTCAGGCCCTAAAAAAGGATACGCAAAAGGCACGTGTGCTTGGTAACTCTGACTATGATAAAGTGTTCCACTTGTATGTTGCAGAAAAAGCAGGATATGCTCCCACTGGTAAGCAACCACTTGCATATTATAGCACCAAACTGGACAACATCGAAACGGGCCTGCCTCCCTGTTATCAGGGAATGGCAGCGGCTGCCTGTGCATTTCAAAAAGCGTCAGCTGTGACCATGGGTCACCCTACCATTTTGTACACATCTCACCAGTTACACGCACTAATCACTAGTCCCAGATTTGTGTTGACCCAGGCGAGAAGAACAGGTTATGAGGTAATTCTCTCAGTGCCTGAACTCACTATACAACGCTGTGCCACAGTCAATCCGGCCACACGAATGATGATTCCTACAGAGAGTACACCCCATGACTGTTCAGGCTACAGATGTGTTCTTAAAGCCTTGTAATATATAATATTAGTAGCAGAGGACTATGAACCACAAATTTAGCATCTCTTATATTAGCTCAAAACAACGCTGGTCCTTATGAACAATCTGTGTGGCTCAAAAGAGGAGCCATTAAAAATACTGTTGCTGGACCTCAAAATGGTCTGTGGCGTAGCATGCAAGGACATTTTGTTCTCCCACACTCATTGTTAAAAATCGCTATTAGAGATGCACATGGAGCTGACCATTGCACAAGGGGGGAGGTTATAAGACGACTTCAGAAAGTCTGGTGGACGCCATTTTTAGCAACCTCAGTAGATAGAACATTACATGAATGTGATGTGTGTTCATGAAAAGAACAGTGAATTAAAAAAAGACAATCATACTGAAAAATCCTGTTTACACTGACTGTTCTTTGCCAACGTGTTAGACTCGACATTGGCTGGAGAATGACATGGATAACTGACTAGTGGGGCACTAGTGGTCAGAACACAGCTTCAGACCTTTCTATTTAAAGAGTTCCCTCCATACTTAAAATAAATCAATAGATGTTAGCTGCTTGTGGGTTGAGGAGAGCACAGATAAAACAGGAAAAGAAATGTTCTCATACTTAATTACAAAACGTCTGCTTCAGAAACCAAGCATCAAATCTAATTTACTGTGGAGAAGATAAGGTCATCTCCCTGCCTGTGTCAAATGTCTGCTGGAATAAGAAGTCCTCTCATATTTGTTAGACAATCACTTTGCTCTGTCACTAGGGTATGATTATTTCAATGCTTAGAAAATGATCAGTAACAAACAGGTCATGTTTTTTTTTTTTTGCATTAACGAGAAAAACATCTCCAGCCCTGCCTCTTTCAGGCCGCATGGCGGCGCTGTCTAGCAGTAACGCCCATACGTCCGTGCCGGAAGTGTGCTGTTTAGGTTCCGGTTTCCCGGTGCACGCTTTCCTTCCGCGGTTTTGTGAAACGATTTTCTTACGAGTGAGTGTCGGCGTGTTGAGAAGAAGAAACCATGAGCAAAGCACACCCGCCCGAGCTGAAGAAGTGAGTAGTTTCCAATGAATACCTTCACACCGGCAGGGTTTGGACAGCTAACGCATAGTATTGCGTAAAGCATTGTTTGCTAAGTTGAATGAGCTAATGCTAGCTAGCCTGCCTGGACTCGGTTCTGTATGAAACGCGAGCGTCAGGACAGAAAGCTAATGTTGTGTTCTCATCCCCAGGTTCATGGACAAGAAGCTTTCGTGTGAGTATCATCGAGAACATCGAGCCGCTCCTCTGTTTGAAATGCTCGTTGAACATGAGCTTCGTGTGCTCAGCTGGTGGTGAACCTCGAGGCTGCAGCTAACAAGAATACGACTGTAATAGTTTAGAATTGGGCAAACACAGCACTTTGGAGGATTTAGGTGAAAGGGAAATTGGCAGGAATTGAATATACAATAATCCTGGTGGTGTTTTCTGGAGTGTTTCATCTCAAGTTCTGTATTCTTTACCCTAGACTGGGCCCTTTCTATTTAAATACTACAGGTCCTCTTTACGGAGGCTGCCATGTTTTTTGCAGTAGTCCAGATTGGACAAAGAGACACTGGACTGGACTTCTCCACTAGATGTCACTAAATACTACACACTGAACCTTTAACCTCCAATCTATTTAATTTGTCAATATTGCCTGATACAACACAAAGACGTAGGGACAATGAAAACCCGTTAAACAAGAACACTACAAATATATATAGCTCTAGACCATAACTGTTAAGTATGTTGCCTTTGGGGAACCTTTCCTCAAAATCTCATCCAGGGCCGTGCAGCATATGAAGCAACTCTGAAAACATGCTGGTACCTATAGTCGTTGTTAGAATCTAATCCCAAATTTATGTGAATTAAGTCTATCCCATATACTTTCTCTTTGGACTGATTCCCTAAAATTATCATTTCAGGGCATGGCCACAAAAGAACACCACAGGTTTTCTTACTTTTCAAAACATAAGAAAGAGCAGAAAGCGTTATGTTTACTTTGAATAGCAGGGGTTAAATGTAGCGTTTCAGTAATCTTGTACTGGATGCAAAGGATTTAGTAGAACATGTTATAAACTTTGAATTCAATAAAACATTTTCACCACATCTCATGCAGGTGGGAACCAAAATCCTCCCTCAATATCTTTTACTCTTTGTAATAGTTATTAACAAACATTTGGTCATAAATGACTAATGGTTAGTGAACTGGCTTTGACTGGTTTAAGTGCAACATGTTCATTGTTTACAGGCTCTCATCCCAGAGAGAGAAATGGTATTCATATAAGTTAAGAACATACTGCTCTGTATTAATGCACGGTTACTTGTGTTGAACAAAATTTAAAATGAACTTGTTGTGTATCATGATTTTAAAGATGCAAACAGAAAAAATATGAATTAATTTTTTAATTAATTGCAGATATTAAAATTCCAATCCCAGTCTGAAGTGCTTAATACCAACACAAATCAAGATGAGAGTAAATCCTTTGAGAATAGGGTGGAGTTCTGAATGAAACAAACATGGAGTATATTTCTCACAGGAACTTCTCTTTCTGTGCTTTAGTGAAGTTGAATGGAGGCAGACACGTGCAGGGCATCCTGCGAGGGTTCGACCCATTTATGAACCTGGTGATGGATGACTGTCTGGAGATGGGCCCTGGGGGACAGCAGAACAGCATCGGCATGGTGGTAAGTTTCTGTCCAGCTGTTTATGTGCATATTATTGGAATGAAGTCCGTATTGGCAGATATCCGACTAAAGGACTCTGATCTGGATTAAACACCCCACATCACCCAAAACGACAACAGTGGAGTAGAAGTAGATTTCTTGGAATGGATGTTTGTCACAGCAGACACTGGTGTAATTGAAAAGACAAATCATTGCTTTGTTCATTAGTTTATGATCAATAGACCCTCTGTTCAACACTGTCAGACCTAAATGCAAAGCCTGAATGTTGTAGCACCTGTTCCTTTCCTGCTGTGGAAAGTCAAAGTATCTGTTTTGGAAAAAGGGCATATCCTTGTTAAATTAGCCTGATATGGTTACAGCAACACTATTCAGGGTTTAAATGCTGACACAATTGAAGATACCTTACAGCTCTACTACCACCAATTTGAAATTTCCTCTGTTTACTCAGAAACGCTTCACCATGTAAATAATATTAAACATACGTGCGGTCTCATTTCTCACAGGTCATCAGGGGAAACAGCATCATCATGCTGGAGGCCTTGGAGCGAGTATGAGAGGAGGGGATGGCTGCAGATGGAGAAGAGAAAGACCCACACCTTTTTACATTCTGTTTCCCTTTTAGTCACATGTTTTGTTTGAAAGAGCTGATTGTGTCTTTGAATTATCAGATGTCTGATTTACACTGACGAGGACTTTTTTTATGTTTTATTTTGGAAAGTGTATGTGTTAATAAATCAGTTTTCTTTGTATTTTGTGTTTGTTGATTCAGTTTCGAACGTACACTGCATTACCAGAACCACACAATACTGTCTATAAATCTTAATAGCAGCTTACTTTAGCCATGGCTTTGTTTGTGATCAGGAAGACAATGTGTGTATCTGGATGCTCTTCCCCAGATCGGCAGACCTGCAGCTCCATCTCAACTGCTATACAGAGGTGTAAAGTTTAAGGTGAAACATTCTTTACAACATTTAGATTAATATTATTATTGTCATTGACAGCCAACTGCATTGTGTTTGTTTTTTCTGTCTTTCCTTCTGTCCAACCTTTGTAAACATGATCTCAAGGAAACAGTTTCTCAAGTTTTTTTTGGAATTTGGTACAGATATTCACATGCCCTCATGGGAGACCTGATGACAATTTAGTGGCCAAAGAAATGTCACAAAGTGCTTTACAGGGTAAAAAAGAATATACATGCATACAAATAAGAAATACAATAAATCCAAAAACGATTAAACCAAGGCTAGTCTGAACAAATGAGTCTTAAGCTGCTTTTTGAGGGTTTTCACAGTGTCCACAGATCTTTAGACCAAAGGGAGAGAGCTCCAAAGTTTAGGAACCACAACCTGCAAACACTTATGTAGTGGTGCCATGAAAGACTGTTGCGAGGCAGTGGCACAGTGGTGAACTGATAGCTGTATAAAGTAATACAGTGGTCCAGTTTTACACTGATGCAGCAAGTTAGAGATGATGTGTCAAAGCAATATAGTGATGCACTGCTGCAGTGACACTTTGATATAGTGATGCACTGATGCTGTGATGTAGTTGCACAGTGGTGCAGTGTTCCGGTCATACGGATGCAGTGATTGTGGGGTGGAGTGAGCAGCCATGGACCAGATACTGCCTCAATACGTTTACTTTTCTGGGAAGTGAAACCTGCAGTGGTGTATGGGATGCATAGATCTTTCACTCTTATAATAAGAAGAATAATCCTCACTCTTTCTCAGTCTTGTAAGATTTGCCATGTTCCCATTTTCCAATATTATTTTTCTGTGAATCAAATGTCATTGGAGAACAAGGCTCGCAAACATCTGGTTATACCGTCTCTGCTGGATGGTGGATGTGTCCATGTTTTTGTTTGTTTCCTTTTTATCAGACAAATGTATTGATCGGGACGTGGTCCTGTTCACTTCAACAAATAAGATATAAAGCGTCTCAGAAACAACTGATGTGCCTTTAATAAGAATCACGACTATGAACACCCTCGATGCTGAAGCAGGGCCGATAGAGGGCGCCGTCTCGACGGCGGACTTCCTGCCTCTACCGGGCTCTTACTTTGAAGGGGGGCTGACGTCATCGCGGACACGCTCCTTTGACGTCGTGTGTCGTCGCCGTCTGACGCTATGTGGAAAGTAGCAATGTCGGACGAGGTTGGGAAGGCGCTACAGTCGGTGGTGGAGCGGGTGAACCAGGCGGCGGCACGGCGGCTCAAGGTAACTGCGGCCCGGAGAGCTCCGCTCCGGGGGGTGGGGTGGGGGGGGCACCGCTGCCGTCGCTGCCACACTCGGGGTCCGGGAGAGAGTGTTGCTGCGGCGGCACGACTCGTTATGTAAGGCAGCCGAACACCTCAACCTTTGGACGGGAGGCAGCTCGGCTCGTGGTGCACTGACACCGTGCACGTCTGGTAGTGGCATCATCATCATCACCATCATCACCATCATCACCACACGCGTGGGAGCAAGTGGCACCTCGACGTGCCTGGCAGCTACTGGTGGCACGTGGTCATGATGTCTATGTGACACAGGGTGGTGATGATGTAGATCAGCCTGCTCCTCCTCCTCCTCCTCCTCCTCCTCCTCCTCCTCACACCTCCCTGTGTGAAAGACAGGGAAGATATCAGCGTGTTCCTCCTTCAAAACAACAGGAGATGATATGTAGGTCAGAGCATGGAGGAAGGAGTTCCTCCTCGTGAGTTTGTGAGCCGGTGACTGACTGATGTGTCACCGCATCTGAACACAGCAGCAGCAGCAGCAGCAAACAATCAGCCTTCATCATTTTGTTTTGAAGGGTCCTGTCAAGGCTGACTCACACTTCAGACCCCACACACTGAGCTGCTGCACCGGTACAGCCGTGCAGTGCTGTGGTGTACAGTGATCCAGTGACACAGTAATTGACTAATACCTCCATATGGGGATCCAGGGATGCAGCTATCCAGTGAACCTGAAGTGACATGGTGATGCAGTAGTGTAGTAGTAGAGTGATGTAGCGGTCTACTGGTGCAGTGATCCAGCGATAGCAGCGATACCGCCGTATAGCGATGCAACGATATGCCGGTGCAGTGCTGTCGCTGAGCGATAGGGCAGTCGTCGTCCAACCAGGCTGGCAGTTCGATCCCGGTCTTCCCCAGCCGCGTGCCAAAGTGTCCTTGGGCAAGATGCTGAACCCCGAATTGCCCCTCAGTGCTGCTAATAGATGCACTGTATGAATGTATGAGTGAATGGCAAACTGTACTGTAAAGTGCTTTGAGTGGTCATCAAGACTAGAAAAGCTCTATATATATATAGACAAACCATTTAACACAGCGATGTAGCGATGCTAGTCAAATAGTGACGCAGTGATAGTGACGCAGTGATATAGTGATGCAGATGAAAACTGTGTGTTTCCTGTCCGTCCCCAGACACTGCCAGCTGTGCCTCCCCGTCTTGTAGCTGTCAGCAAGACCAAACCCCCAGAGATGGTTGTGGAGGCGTACAGACAAGGGCAGCGTAACTTTGGAGAAAACTACGTGAGTATGAAATGATGCAAGTCTGGTCCACTCCAAACTTTCCCAATGTCCGGCCATGAGCGTAAAAGCTCCTGAGAGGAGCCGAGCTGAGGAATAATGTAGAGACTGACCTCATCCCTTATCCCCCTGGCAGGTTAATGAACTTGTGGATAAAGCCTCAGATCCACTGGTGGGTTTTCTACATTTTATGACGTTAAGATTATTTCTTCAGACCCCAGCGCGTTGCGTATTTTTACAGTTTCCTTTTGCCTCATTCAGATTCTAGAATCCTGTCCAGAAATCAAGTGGCACTTCATCGGCCATCTACAGAAGAATAATGTCAACAAACTTTTGGGTAAGTGTCTGTCAGCGCTCCCGCCCTCTCCTGCCGAAGCCGGATGTTTGAAGAAAAACAACAACCCAGCACTGAGTCTTGTCTTTGTTTTCCCAGCCGTGCCAAACCTGTTCCTCGTGGAGACGGTTGACTCGGCGAAACTGGCTGATAAGGTCAACAGCTCGTGGCAGAGGCTGAGGGGAGCCAGCACCCAGAGGTTAAAGGTCATGTTGCAGATCAACACCAGTGGAGAACAGAGTTAGTATTGATGTGATCGCAGACATGCACTGTACGCACAGAGTCAGTCGATCTAACAGAGCATGTGTCACGTGGGTTGCAGGTAAACATGGCCTCCCACCAGAGGAGACGGTGAACACAGTGAAGCACATCGTGTCCCAGTGCTCCGCCCTGCACTTCTTAGGACTCATGACTATCGGGCGCTATGGCTACAACCTCACCCTGGGCCCCAACCCGGACTTTCAAGTACAAAAAAAAATTTCTCCAAAACCTCATTGTTATTTCATTGCATGTACTACCGCTGCATTAATGAAGCTAAAAATCGGATCAGGGCAGGTTGTTCTTAAAAACAACACTGAAAACATTGACTGAAGCTAACGGTGGGCGAATGAAGCCTCATGAGGCTTCGGTTGCAGCAAGCACAGTGACATCTCAGTCTTTTTCAAAATGTATGGGGCCCTTCAAGACTGGGGCAGGGCAACACAACACCTCGCTGATTTCAATGGCGACAGATTCGTGTGCTCGAAGCCTGTGCTTTATTATGCTTGTTAGTGCAACATGCTAGTTAAGCTGTTTTCAGACATGAACTCTGAAGAATATTTGCAGAATTGGAAAACTGGGCTTTCTCCGGAGTTTGTCTTTTACACATGAACCACGCAGCGGTCGAGTTTTTCCGTTCAGAGCCGCTCACAACATCACAGAAATCCCGGGAGCGTTCAGGTAAGGGGAGATCACGTGTTTTTCTTTTCAGCACAGCAACACTGGCATCGGTTCTTATCACCAAAAGTTCTTTTAAATTCTTCACAGGTGTCGTCCACAGCTTTTTAATCCCAAGAAATTTGTTTTCTTATCGTATTTTTCATTCTTAGCGTCAGTCGCTTGATCTCACATCAGCTCATTTGGACATTCTACAGAGTTGTTACCAGGGGGCGGACAGGAACCTCTCACTCTCACATGCAGCCCCTCCGGAGAATGTCAGGAGATTATCTGGAGTTCAGTTTCAATGTCTGAAAGCAGCTTTAGTAATACATTTGTGAACAAATAGCCTAGGACATCTTATGATACCCAAGATACGTTAGTTAGATTATTGGTATTAATAGTTTCGGCCCTAAATGTACTGCATGCAGCAGTGGAAATCGTAACATACTTATGATTATATCTTGTCACACCAATGTGTCAAACTGAGAAAAGCACTTCCTGTGTGAGGGTTTTTTTCCCCTTTATTCAAGAGGCGTGTTCTTTCAGTTTGAGAGCAGGACAATGATTAAAATCTTTTCATGCTTTCACTCTAAACTGTGCTTGCACTAAAATATACCCTGCTTGTGCGTAGGTTTCCTGTGCTTCAGCTGTTCTCTCCTGGCGCTCACGTTGCTTCTGAATGCACATGACACGTCTGCTCCTGGATTTTTTGTGCAACAAGTCTGTCAAAATTCTCCAACCAATAGAATTGGTGGTGCAGTGTTGGCGACCGTGTTGGTGGTTACTTAAAGCGGGCTCACGCACTTGCACCCTCCACGTCTTTAGTATTACTCTGGCTTCTGTCGGGATGTTTGAAGAAAAACAATGACCCTGTCGTGGAGCAGGAGTCCAGCAGATCCCTGCTCAACGTGCAGCGGCAAAATCTCAGTTTTTACATCATGGGAACACTGTTGCTGGTAACTATAAAAAATAAGAGGGTTAGGGTCGACACAGACCTGTTTCTTTCCACTCTGTATTTTATGAGAACCAACAACAACATAAACCAAAACGAGGGCAGGTCAATTTTGTTCATAATCACAACACCTGGCGTTCTATTGGTTGGGGACTTTTGAACGACTTGTTGCACAAAAATGCGAGATCAGGAAAAAAAAAGAAAAAAGACATTTCACGCACAGAAGCAGCGTGAGCACAAAAAGGATGGAACACAGAAATCTGAGCACAAGCAGGGTTTATGTGCATGTGAGCGCAGGATTTTGAGTGCAGGTGACATTTGAAGCTTTAGACGTCGTCAGTTATCGTGTTTTCCATTTGACATGAGCTCCGACATCCACTCACCTCTAACTAAAATGTAATCAGATTAGATATGTGCTTCTCTGAAAACTCCCACTCACCCCAACCCCCAAACCCTTTACTCTAATATGAGAAGTTAAACTGAAACCACACAGCAAGAAAAGAGAAATTATTTTAAAAACAAATATATTAAATATATTTCCAGTAAAGGCCAATCCCAGCTAATTGTAATCATACAATGTCCTACTTCAACATCACTAAAGGATCTGTGTAAAGACTGCCTGTTTTAAAAATATGTTTGGAAACCTAGTATATTTTAATCTGTATTATAATCTCAGAAATATTCCGTCTTGTAGATGCTGCTGAGTCGAAGGCAGGAGGTGTGTGACAGTCTGAAGCTTCCTCTGGAGGAGATGGAACTCAGCATGGGCATGTCCACAGACTTTGAGCATGCGGTGAGCGTCACTTCTCGATAGCACTTAAAAATACATTCTGCACACAATTCACACAGCAAATGTCAAAGGGAGTTTTAAACTCGTATGTTTAGATTTAAAGATTTCCCACCCCTACCAGGTTAAAACAACATTTGGTCTCCACGAACACAAATGAGTTATGAATTGAATTAATTATTTTAGCATATAGCAGGGACGTGCAGTTCAGCCACAGTGATCACAGGAGACACATTCAGGATGCATTTTAAACTCCCTACAAGGAGTTTTTATCTGCTTATGACATTGTCTGATTTTAATATTGCTGCCACTTTATGACCTACAACAGCAAATGAGACAATCAGGGAGAAAATTAGCTTTTTCTTTAAACTATTCTCAATGTCTGTGTTGGGGTCGGACTACCCACAAAGTCAGCACAACATTTATGGAAGTATTCTTCTTATTTAACAGCTGTTGACGGCAGTAATGACAGTCAGGTCGGAGGGGCCTGCGTTTACATTTCTGCTGGTATGGGGTTCAGTAGTTGTAGGTTGTAGTTTTCTTTACCCCATAAAAGGCCCTTTATATTTAAATACTTTATATTTACATTGAGGGGGTCCTCTCTACGGAGGTCGCCATGTTTTTTACATTAGTCCAAACTGGACAAACTAAACACCTTTTGAGTTTTATGACAATTAAAGGCTACCACAGGTTCTTTTGCATGTTTGGAAGGGGAGGGTGAGGTGAGGGGTGTCCAGCTACAACATGCAATTTCAACACTGATATCACTTAATTCTACACACTGTACCTTTAATGGACGTGTAAGGGGTTTTATAGTTGTCATTGCAAAATGTGTCTTATTCATTCTTCTTTCGGGCCTACTATAAACATGCTTTCCTTTGATTCGTTGAAGATCGAGGTGGGCTCCACCAACGTGCGAGTGGGCAGCATCATATTCGGCAACAGGGAGTATCCCAACAGTGCGGCGAACACTCCAATTCCCAGCCCAGCACCTAGTCCAGCTCCCAGCCCGGAGAAAACAACCAAGACGGTGTCCGAAGAGGCGGCCAAGAAGATGCAGCACCTCACAGTGTCCGAACACTGAGCAGATTCCCCTTCCCGAAACACCTTTTAAGAAAGTTTCTAAAGAAAATCCTCTTCACGTGCAGAAGGATCAGAGCAGTGAAGCAGACAGTTTCCACAGAGCCATGTGGAGTTAGATTGCAAAATTCTTGCATCATTTTAAAGTGTATTTCTTAATCTTCCTCACTTTTCTGTGCCCTTCTTGCTGTTTTAAGCACTAAAAAGTGGCATTCGCTACAGAACTAGCTCAACAGTTTTTTAAAAGTAGTGTGTTACTAACCTATAGTGCTCTGACTTCCCCTGTGTGGAAATCTCTCCTACAAGATTACAAGGATATGCCACAAACGTACAACCACTGAAAACACGGCGACGGATTGGTAAACGGTCAACTCTCATGACTTGTGAGGTAGTGTGAGGATTTGTCTGTTGTTCTGGTGTGATATTTTCTACCTTTCCAACCCAACATGTGACAGTGCTGAAACGTGCGACTGTACATTGTCCCAGAGATCAGGAACAATGTACCGCTTTTTGTTGTACGGATGAAACAAAGACTTGATTTAATAAATCATTTATCCCTTTATAATGACACATAATATGTGTGTTTGATATTGTTTCGTACTGTGTGCCAAACATGTCTTGTTCTTGACCTGAGCAGTTTCAAGAGGGAGGAAGTGTTTTGTTCCTGTGCAACCCTGTGTGTGTGTGTGTCCTGTGCGCCATTGCTGGGGATAAAGGTGGCCTATGCAAAGAGGTGATCTTGTTTCAAAGATGTCAAAAGGTTAGTGTATTTTTCTGTGTCGTGATTTAAAGGAAATCGCCTTGTAGGTAGATGGCAGTTGCTGTCCGAACAAGGTTTAGTTTGGAGTCCGGCTCTGAGGGAAGCCAAGCAATAAATTGTACTGTTGAAAAAGAATCAGCCATTTATTGTGTATTTCTTCAAGACGAGGCAAAGTGGCACAAATAAGATGAGAGACAGTTTATTACGAACATGCACGTGACATCTGGAAAAGCTGGAAGAGTATTAGTATTACTGTAACAAATTGGAAAAGAAAATTACATTGGAAATATTGCATCTCGAGGGCAGTTTTAAATGGACATTTCAAATGTAAGAGAGAAACGACTTTTCCTTCCAAATGACAAATGCTTCATTAGAACTCCTAACAATTAAAACGCTGTCCAGTGTTGAGAAATTCAAATGTCTCATAAGCAATAAAACCCAGACCATGACTGCTCAATAAATAAGTCGATGACACGAAACAACTCTGTGACACAACCGAAACAAATGTAAAGACTTGCACATCATTTAGTCCGTATGAAAGGCATTAGAAAACAATCACCAAGTGATACCTGTTATTTACACCGTTCATTAGAATCCTGCTAATCACAGGCGAGTATCACAAACTGTAACTACAGACCGTGCTCTGGTAAAAATGAGCAGCGAACTGGACTCCATGTGGAAACTATGTACAGGCGGTGGAAGGATGGTAACACCTCGTTTAAACCCCTGTTTCATATTGATAAGAAGTGAACATGTAATGATTTACAATGCACTAGTCACAGCATCTTCTGTGAAGAGAGTGTGACTGGTCTACAGACAAATAATAACTGACAAGTCGACATATAAAATATAGGTTATTGACTGCGTTCATGTCAGGTGGAATATTTATTTACAATTACTCCAAAAGACTGCAAACCATATTTTCTGATGAAGGCCACACGATGGGGCTGAGAGCTACAAGATGGGAAGTGAACCTTGAATTAAATGTATTTGTTCTTTGGTCAAACTGCCTCTAAGGTTTACAATTAATCTTCAGGTTCAACATGTCATTGTGAGTTTTGATTTATAAACTCACCTGTGACAGATGGACACGTATAGAACTTTACTTTTTACAACACACTGAGGATCTGTTGATGTGTGTTATCATTAAAGATGAATTATCTGTCTAATCACCAGTGAATTCTCTTCATGGGAGATTTCAATACCTTATATTTCAGGCAATTATAAACCATTAAGTGTTTATGGTCTGCTTATAAATACTAAATGCAGGGGTTCAAGCAACGTGTCACCGCATGTACATGGAGGAATCAAGGCCTGTATATTTGCATTGCAAGTGTGACCACAGCTGAAAGCTACTGTTAAGAAAATATAAAACTGTGCAACACTAACAACAAACGAACAAAATCAGGAATCAATAAATTAAGATGTTCTTAGACATGAACTCCAGAGGAAGTCCAGAGGATTGGGTCCAGACTTTCTCCAGAGTTTGCCTTTCAACCAAAGGAAATTCTCCACTTAAAAGCTTTCACAGCAATACAGAAATCTCCACAACGTTCAGGTGTGGGGTGGTGCAGCAGGCAGGGGCAGGATGTAACTGCAGCACAGATGATGTGTGTTTACAGCTCATGGACACTGACGTCAGCTTTTATGACCAAAAGCTCTCCTGACATCTTTCTCTCTTTCCTCTACGCGTGTAGAGAGATATTTATTTTCGATGTAATTTTTCCTTCTTGCGTCTGTTGCCCGTTAAGAGACGTCACACACCTTCTCGCATGCAGTGAGTCCCATGGAGGATGTTCTTCCGCGTTCTCACTTCGGCTCCTCCGCTCTTTCTGTGGATTTTATTCAACAGGGTATGACGGAGGAAGTCCGCAGAAACTCTGCAGGCTCCCACTCACACATTTGCACTCACAGATACGGCCCCTGTAGAGAAACTCCGGAGGCTCTCCTGAGTTCGGCGCATGTCTGAAAGCTGCTGTACTTGGTTATTAACAGCTCTAACATTCTCATTGTTACACATATCCTGCTGTACTCACTCACTCCTGTGGGACATTAAAATAAACTTCTTGGACAGGGACCCCCCAAAAAAAAGGACACGGACCAGTGATGTCAAGAAGATACGATAAGAACGGCGGTAGGAATGGTGTTGCTGCTAACAGAAAAACGACAACAGCTTAAAACGTTAGCAAGAAACCAAAAACAATAAAATAAAACAATGCCCCGCACTGATAACTGCCACAGTAAATTTGCTTGTACCATTTATGACTGATAGAAACACCACGCGTCTTCCTCTGGATGTTTCTGTGACTCTGTGGGTGGACGTCCCTCTGTTCCACCCAGTCAAGTCTGTCCTCTCGTGTTTTACGTTGTTTCCTGATGTACTCACATACACGTTACACCAGTTTCTTGGCCTCAAAGAAGCTTTTGAGGTGCTTCATCTGCCAAATCCCAGTGATGATCAGGATGAGTGTCTGAGCGATGGACCACCACAGAACACGCTGATTGGTGCTCTCGCTCGTCATGCGGAAACGCTCCTCTCGATACTGGAAAAGACAACACAGGATGAAGTCACTAAAACTTTATACCCACTTCCTCATCTTGAACGTGGTAAAGCTGTCATCTCAGCATGCTCTGGTGTAAATGTAATTTTTTCAACTGACCCTCTGGTAGTTTTGCTCCTTCTGGATCTGTTCAACCTGGTCCAGAAGTTGTCTGACTCGCAGCTGCAGCTCGGTGAGTTTGTCCTTAGCTGCAATTTCAGGGTAGTTGTTGGTATGTTCTCCAACCTGAATATCCAGATGCACTCTCTGCAATCAGGAAACAGACAGTGTATTGAATTGTAGTGAATTCTGTGGACTCTTAAAGGAATGATACATGTCTGATTTATTTAGTTAATGCGCTTTTTAAAAACCAATAGAATTCTAATCAGATTCAGTTTTTAATAACTCCAATGCAAAAATCGAATTTAACTGAGACTTACTCAGAGGCGTACTGCTAAAAGTGGAATTGTGGAACTGCACTGGTGGAACATGTATTTTTATTAGATCATACACCATCGTTAATTTGTTTCTGTGTGTCTGTTTCTTTAACTTCATGTAAATATCATTTAAAGCCCTTGCATTCATGTTCATCTCTGAGTTCTCCCCAGGTGACACCTCACTCACTCTCCTGTTCACTCTGCTGCATGTAGTAGGACTGTTCAGTTTGCTCCATCACACCATCATCTTTCTGACAAAGTCAGTGAGATAATGTAATTCCCAGGATCAGTGCAGCCAGGGCCTGGAGCTGAGCAGCCAGAATAACTGGAAACACCAGCGTGGGTGTGTCGGACCATTCGAGAGAGAAGGAAAATGCTCTCTCGCTATAAGTCTGCAGCTCTTAATATTGTGCAGACCCTGCTACATCCAGTGTCAAATGAGATCAAACTGACAGTAAGTTAAAGTACAACTGTCACGATAGCTTCATCCAGTTGTTTGGAGACTTTGTAAGCAGGATTACACAAAACCAACTCAACACATTCACACAAATCTCGGTGGGGAACAAGGGAAGACCCTGTTTAATATTGGTGCTGATCTAGGATTTTCCCCCAGTTTACATAACATTGTGAGATAGGATGTTTTCCAATGGAATAATGTATAGATCCTAGATCTTGACATTTAGGGAGCTGATGTCTGAGTGTGTGTGGAGTTTGGTGCATCTTGATTGAATTTAAGAGGACTGTTGTCCTAACCCTTGGCGGAGGGATGCACTTTGCTGAGCCATTCTAGTTCTTCTCTGTCCTAATTCTGCACATATCTCTGACTCCAGAGCTGCAGGACCCAGATTTGACAGTTACTCAAACACTGCTTTTATTACAAGGCAAATAATTTTGTATTTGTAATCATTTCTCTCCTCTCAACCCAACTGGTCAAGGCAGATGCAGAGTGATTTTAGCACTAGTTCAGCTTGAGCCTAACATGACCCGGGATGGAAACGTTTCCATGGTAACTCCACCTGTCAGCCTGATCTAACCCTGATTTGTGATCTTGCTTCCTCAAGATAAGCCTGACTTACTGAGTGAGCCCAATTACAGATAAAGATGCTGCACTTATTTGTCCCAGTTTGAACACATATAATATGAAACATCTATAGTCATTGATATTTGTGTGAAACACTCTGAAAGAAAATAACTGATCGGGTGAAATGAAATGAGAATAATGAACTGGATCGTACCAGTTTTCCACCTGCAAACAGAGCCATCTTGGTGGAGTTGGAGTGCAGACAGATCTGATGTTCTCCAGGAGTATGGGAAGTGAAGGTAAACCGTCCGTCTGACCCATACTGACGAGACAGGATTATCTGGGAGAGGTGTGAGAGAAGAATCTTATGATTGCATCCATCTGCATGTGGGTGTGTTGGACATTACTACCCCCTCTGTCCTGACCTTTGTGTCTGGATCCTTGATCTCCACATGCATCCCGAGGCCGGGGGTGGCTGGGAGGAAGGAGCCGGTCTGTTTGTCCCACAGCTGAGTCCTGTATTTTCCTGTCAAACAGGAAAGACAAACAGGTTTGTGGCCTAATGTATCTCAGATTCTGAACAACTTTACAGGAAACGTGTGGGAACTGTCGTGTCTGAGCTCTATCGTACTGGTTCTTATCATGAAACCAGTGATATGTGTCATCATTATCGCGGTCACTGTTCAGAATGTGAAGCCATCAACTCAGGTGTGTCGCTGCCCGTCAATGGGAAGTGTCAGCAGGTAGACCGGCCGCTACAGGCGCCATCAGGAAACCATCGAATAATCTGAGGGCTCGTCAGTGTGTGTGTGTGTGTGTGTGTGTGTGTGTGT